TTAGGCTTTAGGCTTTAGGCTTTAGGCTTTAGGCTTTAGGCTTTAGGCTTTAGGCTACGATTTCTGTATGAGGGGGTGCCTACCGTTTAACCTGAGGCTCCATTAGGGTTCTGTCATACCAAAGAGGGACTTTAACTGCAAGCGCTCCTTTTGCGAGGCCGTTCTGTTCTTGGAAGGCTCAGAGTTTAGGGCTTAGTGGTGCTTAATGTTTAGGGTTGGAAGTTTGGGGTTCAGGGTTTAGGGTGATGCATGGAGGGGATCCCGAAAAGTCGGGGTCCTTTTTGGGGGATCCTTTTCAGGGATTCCCCTGCCGCTGCCTTGTTGGAAACCCTGCGTACATGGCACCTTGTCCATGTTCTGGCGCCCCTCATAGAAGCCCTAAGCCCTAAACCCTAAGCCCTAAATCCTAAGCCCCAAGCCCTGAACCGAAAACCCTAAGCCCTAAACCCTAAGCCCTAAGCCCCAAGCCTTATCAACCCCAAAGGCGTAGCTCTAAACGGACCAGGCATGAGAGCAGAAGCCATATGGGTAGTCTCCGAACCAGGGTCCCTTTTTTGGTTTAGGTTTTAGGGTTTAGGGTTTAGGGTACCCATTATAAGGCGGCACCCTTTAAAAGGGGGATCCCGAAAAGGGGCCCTAGTTGAGAGAACTACCCACATACAGTCATGAAGGGTCTGGCGGTATTCTTCAAAAAACGAGATCCCAAAAAGGTACCCTAATCTAGAGAACTACCCTGATACAGTCATGAAGGGTCCGGGCCTTCAGGGTGAGTTTAGCTCTTTGCTGCCTTCGGCTGGTTTACCCTAAGGGTCCATGTTCCTCATTATTGTATACTTGGGCCCCATAGTCCATATGGGAAGAACTTTAAGGCCCAAGTATTCAATATTCAGGTTTGTTGGCCCTTAGGGTTAGGGCTTCATCCGGGTGGTTCAGGCGTTGGAGATGAAAGGGGTTGCAGGCTTGGACGTTGGCTCTCACTTACGTGGTGTTGTAGGAGTGGAGAAAGCTAATCCCTAAGCCCTAAACCCTAAACCCCAAACCCCAAACCCGAAACCCTAAACCCTAAACCCTAAAACCCTAAGCCCTAAACCCTAAACCCTAAACCCTAAGCCTGCTTCTGATGCTGCAGTTGCGGCGTCAACGGGGGAGAAGTTGCCTGCGCAGGCGCCACAGCAGTTGACAGCTCGTAAGAGCTGGGGTGGAACTCCGAAATACGGCCCCGGATTTGTGGAACCCAGGGTTTAGGGTTTAGGGCTAGGGTTTAGGGTTTAGGGTTTAGGGTTTAGGGTTTGGGGTTCAGGGTTTTGGGTTTTGGGTTTAGGGTGTAGGGTGAAGGGTTTGGGGCTTAGTGTTTCCTTCAAAGGCTTCGTTGGGACAAGTAAAGCCCTCGAGGTGTTTTTACTTGGCCTGCCGAGGGGCACCGCGAACCCATTCAACCCTAAACCCTAAACCCTAAACCCTACTCCTAGTCCCTGAACCCGGCCCACCACCCGAAGTTATGAAGTTCTTGTCGGCCCAGAATATGGGCCGGGGCTTTTCTTCGGGGCTTTCTTCGGGGGACAGTATAGAAACCCTTAGAGGGTAAGTTCTTCATTTTTGGCGCAAGTTGCACCCCAGCCAACTTTGACCTTTGGGGGTGTTCGGGTTTCTTCGGCGTTTGTTGTTTACTTTGACTCGCGCCCCTCTGGTGCTTCTCTCGAAACACTTCGGTGCTCTTGTGCGCCCGCGCGCAATGGCACTCTCTGTCGTGAAGGCGGAAGAAGCCCCGCTCGCCTCGCGACCAATTTCACCTGAGGAAGTGGCGCTTTTGAGATTGTTGAGGCGTGCCGCGGAACCTCAGACACGTTCTACAGGAGGTTCGCCCGACCCCTGCTGGGGAATACAGACTTTTCGGAGGCGGGCCTGACCCCGCCAGATCAGCCCGGGCGATTCCCGGCACTTTTGGTCTCAATCGAATGCGGAGGAGAGAGTGAAATGGCGGGATACTTTCAGCAAGTTGAGGATGAGGTGGGCTTCAGTACTTTTAGGCGGGTTAACAATTTCCATGACTATCTAACGTTTCAACACCAACTACCCGAACTACCCTACTCACACAGGCTCCTGTTGCACCACCCCGAACGAATAGCGAGCCCATTTGACCTAAACAGGCACATACACGTAGGTTTCCGAAAAAACAACGAGTACTCTTTTTTTTGGGGGGGGTCTATAATCCAGATTGTAGTATTTAGGGGTACATGAGGGGGGCCCTGACCCTAACCCTAAACCCCATATTCGCAAACACCCTCCCCCTCCCCCCCCCGCATATTACCGGAGTGGTCGAGGCGCCAGCTGCTCCCGATGCCTCATCCGATGCAGAGGACGAAGGCACTTTCCAGGTTTAGACTTTAAGGGATAGTTGGCCCACCCGCCAGGAATGATAGAATTGTGTTTCCCGGGTTTCTGCCCACAGAGTCTCGAAACCCACCAAGCACCCCCAAAAGCCTGCACCCCAAACCATCCGAAACCCTAAGCCCTAAGCCCTAAACCCTAAACCCTATAAACCCTAAACCCTAAACCACCAAGCACCTCTCCGCGTGGAGCCCCTTTCAGGTGAATCGTCGCCCGTGAGCGTCGCACCACAGAGGACCAAGTCACCCCACGTCTCCGATAGGGCTCTAGACAGGGTCTTGGGGATTCTTGGGAACGTTATTTAATTGTTGGGGCATTGTAATTCCTAAGAAACAGCTAAAATTATAATTTCTGCTAGGGTTCCAAGTTCAGTCTAGGGGTTGGGGTGCAGGGTTTAATGGTCCTAAGATTCCTTCAAGAGACGCATTGTACTCTCTCACTAGCATCAGGCAGAATTTGTGGCGTTGCACGCCTAAGGCCTTGTTTCCCAAACCCACATGAGTAGAGCCCCAAGAACCCAAGTCGCGGGAAAACCTCAACCTGTAGTCGCAGTAGATGTAGTAGTCATGCTAGTCGTCGTCGTCGTAGTAGTAGTAGTAGCAGCAGTAGCAGTAGCAGGACTAGTGGAAGATTTCTCTTCGACGGGCTTAACTCAGTTTAAGGTTCCTAAAGCCCTCAACCCTAAACCCTAAACCCCAAACCACAACTAACCCTAAACCCTAAACCCTCAACTGGCAGGAGCATGGCTGACACCTTGGCCATGCTGGAAGACGGCCTCAAGCGTCTTGCAGCGGCCAAGTACAGTGCAGGGCTGAGCCAGGGCCAGGGTTAGGTTTGGGGCTTAGAGTTTCGGGTTTGGGGTTTAGGGTTTAGGGTTTAGGTGTTTTGGGTTGCTCTTTGTGTTTTAGGGTTTTGGGCTTTTGGGCTTGTAGGGTTTTGGGGGTTGCCGGTGTTTAAGGTTTCGGGGTTTAGGGTTTACGGTTTCGGTTTTAGGGTTTAGTGTTTGATGGGGGTGCTTGGGTGCTGCACAATAGGGGTGTTGTATGGTTTGGGTTCAGGGTCAGGGTTGAGGAGGCTTGAGTCTGGAGGGATTTCACGTGCCATGTCCCTAAACCCCCAAAACCCTATAATTAAACCCTAACATCCTAAGCCCTAAACCTTGAGCTCCCAAAAAGGGGCCAACCCTGAACCCTGAACCCTAAACCCTAACCCATTTGCTTGAGTTTCATGTAATGTTAATATAGAGAACTGAGCGTGAGGTTTCACCGTGCTCACCGGCACCGGGCTGGATGAGGCTCGCTTAGGGTTTAGGTTTTAGGGTTGAGGGTTTGGGTTTAGGGTTTGGGGTTTGGGGTTTGGGGTTTAGGGTTTAGGGTTTAGGGTTTAGGGCTTAGTCTTTATATGTGTTGTTTATTTTCGTTGTCCTTGCGGTTCAGGGATCTGTTGGAGTCTCCAGGCTTCAAGGCTTGTGGAGTTCGGGTTTGAGGCAGGCTCTTTGCCAACATTCCTTGGTAGCCCAGTGGTGTACCACCCTTTACCCTTTTTTTGGTTCTGGGTTCCCTTCTAAAGTAACCAGGCAAAAAAAGGTGCCCTTATTGTAATATGGTTGCTGGGCTACCCTAGACCCTAAACCCCAAAACCGCGCTGTGTATTCGTGTCGCCTGGTACCACGTCCTTCATGAACCATCTCTCCAGCATCCACTTAGTAGGGTTCGGGTTTAGTGAGATTTTCGGCTTCAGGGTCCATTTCTTGGTAGCCTTGCCCTTTTGTTTGGTGCCCGGTTCCCTGAATTGAAGGGTGAAGGGTTAAGGCTTTAAATGACCGACTCCAACAAGATCGGGCCACTTTAAGATGGCCCTACCTACAGTTTTACGGGTTACGCCTGCTGATTATGGGGTAGCTACTACTAAACCCTGACTCTAAACCCTAAACCCTGAACCCTAAACCCTAAACTGTAGGTCGATAGAGTCCCAGGGCTACGAAGATCTTTCCGCAGTACTTGGATGAAAGCACGTTCGCCGAGTCCCTCGTGTCGAACCCCAGAGCTCTGTTGGCCTTCTGAAAGGCCCTTACAACTTCCCCCCACTCCTCGGACTAATCCGTGTAACCCTTTCGATTTAGGGTTTAGGGTTTTGGGTTTAAGGTTTAGGGTTTCGGGTTTAGGGATCAAACCTGAATCCTCACGCCCGGCCTTCCCCAAAACGAACCACTGAGCTGAACCTTGCCTCCTCCCACCCCTAAACTTTAAACCCTAAACCCTTATGAATCCCCTGAAATGAAAGGACGACATCTTTGCCGCCTTCGAGACCTTCCGGCGAGCAGTGCCTTCTGCTTTGTGTTGCTAGGGTTTAGGGTTGAGGGTTTGGGGTTTGGTGTTTTTGGTTTGGGGTCTGGGGATTAAGGGTTAGGTTTGTGCTTTCGGTTACTGAAGCCCTGAGGCCCTGTGAACCGTCTTTTTGTTTTCTCCCTATCCCCCCCTCAGCTTCGGGTTGGGCTTCTGAACTAAGGTTATAAACCGTCCAAAATCGTTTACCGCGAAATGCATCGTAATAAATACACGCATTTCACTGTTGGTGCTTCAAGATCAGTTGTGGTTGTGTGTCCAGGTGCCATGGTCTTGAAGAATGCTCAGTACATGTAGGGCCCCCCTAGTTATAGATAGGGTTATAAGGGCCCTAAATAAATCTGACCATTTGGGTTAAAATTCCCTCAACTAACGTTAGTATAGAAAGGGGGCCACTACTTGTATTTGATCATGGACCACTGCCACCCCCTGCATTGTCTTATTGTTTTTTTTGATACTTTTTCGCGTAAGACCTTCCAGGAGAGTCGAGTCCATTTTTGGGGTCGTAATAATTGCAGTACTACTAGAATTCCCTTGTGGTCCCTTTTATAAATTTTCTAGCATAACCCCCAAAACCCTAGTCTCATTATTACGGCACCCTTTTTGGACGTCTAGAGTGCCATAGCTTCTTTCTTGGTGTGAACGGCAAGGGTCAGAGCCAGGACTGTGGGACCGTCCGTAGGACGTAGGGCCGTAGCACGTAGGGCCATGATATAGATCTAGTGAATCGCAGAGCCTTATGATGATAACTTAACTATGTGACATCGCCCAGACTGTCGCAGCTACAACGCTTGGCAGTGGAGGTAGCGACGACCACAGTCGCGGTTCCAGCGACGACGCGCACAATGTCAGCAAGCTTTCAACGCTGGATGAACTGACACCACTGTTCCTTGCATGGTATTCAGCCGAGATGGCTTACATGAACGCATCGCCCTTGAGCGGCAGCGAGGATCCGTTCAAGGCGAGCATTGGCATGCAGCCTTTGACAGGCTCATGCGGTGAGGCCAGGCGGGCGGCAAGCCATCTGCTTGCCATGCCATGTGCGTTACGTGGCTGGACCCATGATCCCCGTCAGTCCACGTCATCCTCGTCCATGAAGTTCCATGAGTCGTTGATTTTGCAAACAATGCTGACAGTCACACTGAATATGATAGCAGTTCTGTTGATGTTGCAGTTGTGCCACATCACGGTCAAGATGTCATAGCTTGATGTGACGCGCTGAGGAATCACATGGCGGGACGAGTTCACCCATCCTTCACACTCACGCCCTCACACTGCCTGGGCCCAACCCCCCCCCCCAGCATCGTGACGCGTAGAGATGTTAGCCTGATGTTAGCTGATATATACATATATATATACACATATTATATATATATACATCGTTCACCCATGACATCGTGATGTCATTCATGTCCGGGTCACGTTGCAGAACATGTAGTTGTCATAGATGTGCGATTGGCCTGATGACCGTCTGATGACCTACAGTCGTTTGTGCGTCGTTGCGCTTTGAGCTTTCTACTACCTGTATGAACTTTCCAAGTAAGCCCGTGTAAACCCCAAACCTAAACCCTAAACCTTGAAGCCTCCAGGGGTGCAGTGTAGGATTTAAGTAGGGCTTAGGTCCAGGGTTGTAGGGCTTAGTGTTGGGCCCTGAGCGGATGTCTCTGGCCAGGTCTGCCGCATCACCCAGGCAGGATTCCTAAATCCTGAACCCTAAGCCTTAAAGCCCAGACTCTTTCAACCCTACAGGATACGAAGCAGCCTGCTTAAGGCTGCAGGGCCCACATGAGGAGTACATTCAGGGAAGCCTGAAGGGGCGCGACCTCAGGGGTACGAGTCTGAATCTCTTGAGGGTTTCGGGTTTCGGCCAAAAGGCAGGTTTGTGAACGTTGGAAAAAAATCTGGGGTTCGTGGGCCCAGGGAGTTCTGTGTTGCATCAGTTTTCAGAGGTTGAGGCCTTTGAAGTCCGTAGGCCCTTAGGATACGTTCCGTAATCCCTTGTTGATGTTAAGAGGATGAAATTTGAGATTCTTGCTCAGACGGTTGAAAAGGGCCAACCCACTAAGTATACAATGTGTCTGGACTGCAGCTGCCCTAGTTTGAGGGACGTGTTTCCCGAAATAGGGGCAGCCCTCCTATACCCAAAATAGAATAGAATCCCCTTAAAAGGGACCCCCCAAAAAAGGGCCCTAAACCCTCTTTATCCCCCAATTTTAAGGGTACCTTCAACCCTAGAAACCCTAAACCCTATTTTCGGGAACCCCCGAAAAGGGTACCCCCGCTTTTTCGGGCGCCCCCATGTGGAGAGGACAGTCGCATCGACAAGTCAGCCCTTGACAAGATCGAGCACAAGGACCCCCCATGTACCGGTTTAGGGTTTAGGGTTTGGGGTTTAGGGTTTAGGGTTTGGGGTTTGTCATATACTTGGGCCCCAAAGTCCCTATATGGGAACTACTTTAAGGCCCAAGTATTCCCTATTTCGGTACATGGACCCGTCGGGTAACCTCCAGCCCCAAGGCAGAAGTAAGCCCTAAACCCGCAACGCATCCCCGATGTCCCAACCAACAACTCGGCGTTCTTAGCCCTAAGCCCTAAACCCTAAACCCTAAACCCTAAACCCTAAACCGTACACCCTAAACGTCGCCCCTCCCGTAAAGTCAAGTTTGTCGGGCTATTCAGGACTGCTTGACTGCTTTGGGGGTGCCCGGTGAAATCCCCTACTACGTCAAGGCTTCCGGGTGTCGCAAGAACATTGCGTGCGGCGCGCCTAAGGTTTCAATTCAGGTTTCAAGGTTCAAGAGTTTATAAATTAGAAGTCAGAGGTTCATGGGTTATTTAAATTCAATTGAAGGCCACTCTGCCCCAGTTAAACTCACATATTCTCATCAAGGTTAAAAATGTAGACGACTGTTCCCTGGGGGCACACGAAATAGCGTGCAACGTCACTACGATAATTCTGGTATGATTACGATTACAGTACTACTCTTTCACGAAAACCAGACATTGGAAATTGAGGGCTAATGATTCATGATCACGGGCCCTTGTAAGAAAATCATTAAACCCGCGAAGCCCCTTTCCTACCGCATGCAAAGTACGCGTGTTCTTGGTACATTTTAGTGGGTGCTACCGACCAATTTTATTGTGTTCCGAGATTTGCTCTTCGAATATTGGTACTAACGAAGTGCATGCGCGAAGCGAATAAACGAACAAGTGACAATAACGAAGCAGAAGAGTAGCCGAAAAGAAGTGGAGAACAATGTTGTTCGTATGGGTGTACGCAATAAGAGAGTGAAATAATACAAAAATGGCTCAGGAATGAGTAAGTTAAGTGAGATTACGGCCCCTAATTTCACGTAACGTTCATTCGGTTAACAATAAAGAAGTTTACAAGCAAAAGGGCATACGGGTAGTTGCAACCCACTTTTCAACTACCCATGAATGAACCTTCAATCAACTCAATCTCGGGCCATGACAGTGAAGACTTAAGCCTAAACCCTAAACCCTATCTAGGCCCTAAACCCTAAACCCTATTCCCTAAACCCTAAACTACAAGCCCAAAACCCTAAACCCAAAACCCTCAACCCTGAACCCTAAACCCCAACCCTAAAACCCTAAACCCAAAACCAGGATCGCATCCTGAGATTCCTACTCGACGTCCATGCCCGCAAGCGGCCGCACCGAAAGCGGACCGAGGCCCCTAGTGGCCCCCCATTGGGAGATTTCTACTTGGAGGTTCATGTTACTTATTGACCAATTAACTATACGTGTAGTTATGACTGATTGTATAATCATATTAGGGCACTTAAGGGGCTTGTAAGTGGGTTGCAAGTACAGTTGATAAGAGGTTAATGAGTGCCATGAATCTCCAAGCAGGGGCAGTTGTATGATCCCTTACTCTGGCCCGATACCTTCGTTCAAAGGTTTTGGGTTTTGGGTTTCGGGTCCCTTGTTTATGTCTTCGCTGTAAGGCGGCATGCTGCAAGTAGAACCCTAGTTTCGCACTAGCTAAGTTAACGAAAACCCTAACATAGGAGGCGGAATAATTACTAATTGTATTCCCTCATGGTCCCCTTAGAACTACACAACAACAACCCCCCCCCCCCCCCCCCCAAACGCTGTTCTCATTATTTTCAATCTGCTCCCCTTTGTGACTAATACTATAATAAACCCCCCCCCCCCCTAAACCCTAAACCCTAAACCCTAAAACCCCCCCCCCCCCCCAAAAAAAAAAAAAACCTGCTCAAATATTCAGGCTCCTACAGCCCAGAATGGCCCCCAGGCGCTGCTGTCGTTGTTGCTGGAGGTGGACAGCTGGCAGAAGGCCTTCGCAGAAGACCAGGCCATGGGGATTGTTTGGGGTTCACCTAAACCCTAAACCCTAAACCCTAAACCCTAAACCCTAAACCCTAAACCCTAAACCCTAAACCCTAAACCCTAAACCCTAAACCCTAAACCTAAACCCTAAACCCTAAACCCTAAACCCTAAACCCTAAACCCTAAACCCTAAACCCTAAACCCTAAACCCTAAACCCTAAACCCTAAACCCTAACCCCTAAACCCCTAAACCCTGAACCCTAAACCCTGAACCTTTTGGGGCATCTTGGGGTTTAAGGTGCAGGGTATTTGGTTGTTTTTTTTTGCATTTGGCGCTTAGGATAGTCGATGCCGTTGTTGAGTTTGGGCAAGTTGATGCTCAGGGTGCAAGGTATTTGGGGACTTGGTGCTCAGACGCTCAAGCCTTTAAACCCCAAACCCGAAGCCCTCAGCCCGAAGCCCTAAACCCTAAACCCTTCAAACCTAAACCAAGAGGCCGCCTAAGCCCTAAGCCCGAGTCCTATCCCGTCCATAACCCTCAGGCAGGAGGATTCAGTGCCTGAGGTTTAAAGGGTTAGTTACTACGATTTGCCGGCCATGGTTTAGGGTTTAGGGTTTAGGGTTTAGGGTTTAGGGTTTAGGGTTTAGGGTTTAGGGTTTAGGGTTTAGGGTTTAGGGGTACATGGTAGGGGCCCCCTAGTCATAAACAGGGTTAAAAGGGCACTGAATTGGGTTGTAAGTCCTACTTTTCAGGTCATGTCTCCTTCATAGCTAAAGTTGGTATGGTAAGGGGGGGGGGGGGGGGCCTACTTGTAGTTGTAGGTTTCAAGCAAGGGTCAGGGTTTCGGGTGCTTGCAACCCTGGAGCACTGGCCCTGAACCTTTTAGCAGCCCTAAACCCGAAACCCTAAACTCTAAACCCCAAACCCTAAACCCTAAACCCTAAACCTTATCAAACCCTTAGCCACTGGAGGACCTTGAGGCAGCGATCGCACAGCCACTCGCCTAAAGGCTGTTGTTCAGGAGATCATTGCTTAAGTGAGAAGAGCCCCAAATGCACTGCACTTCGCCGGCCCCTAGATTCTAACTCATGCACGTATTTTCGGGATTGCCGCCAATGGCCTCCCACAAAAAAATTTGTTCTAGGTAACCCAGCATAGACCCTACACCAACCCCTTAACCCCTAAACCCCAATCCCTACACCCTAAAGTTTCGGATCCTGGGGTTTCCATGACTTCGCGTTCAAGCGGGGGTCCAAAGGGACACACAAGCTTCTTCAATTTCAATAGGGGGGGTTGGAGGTTTACGATTTAGGGTTTAGTCAGAATCGTTTCGATCCTTAGTGGCTCGAAGTGTTCCTACCAGCTTTTTTTTGTTCGCGCCACTGTGGCAAGGTTCAGCAGCTCGTACAAGTCTTGTGACTTGATGTTGACATCATAACACTGAGAATATAGGGTCAGACTAATTGCGAATAGTATTCCCTTACGATCCCTTTATAATCATACGATAAAAACTCCAACACCCTGTTCCAATTAATTATTCAGGCCCCTACATTAGTCTTTGTTCCAGTGCTATGCAGGCATGTGCACGGATGGAGAACCGGCCGAGATGCGTCTTCACCAAGCAAATCTTTCCGCGCTTGCCCAGATGTCTGGGAGGATCCAAAAAGTAGACCCCCCAAATAGTACCCTATGCTACTATCGGGTCATTCTTAGGAGCCCTTAAAGGGATCTACTTTTTTGGGATGCTCCCAGGGGTCTGGGTGAAGACTGCCTTCAGATGCTCCATGCACACTACCTCAAGGCATGGAGACCAGTCCTCTGGCTGATGGACGTGTGCAAAGTTTGGTTTAGGGTCTAGGGTCTCTTTGGCGTAGGGTTTAGGGTTTAGGGTTTAGGGCTTTAAGGGTTTAGGATTTCAATCTGGTCACAATGAGGAGATGAGCACACCCGATGAGCAGGACCTTGGGCCTTGGGCACCAAATGAACCCAAAAATTGGGGTCATGTACCCTACACTACGTACTCTAATCCCATTTAAGGATTCCGAATAATGACCCAATAGTAGTAAAGGGTACTATTTGGAGTTCTGGATTAGGGTTTGGGAACATGGGCCTTTGTTTAGGTCAGAAGTTTCGTGCAAGGGCCGTTGTGCTAGGATGCCCAGCAGTAGCATTCCTACTTCTTTTCTTGGGGTTCTGCATCTCGCCAAATCCCACGAGTCCAACATCCCTTTCAGGTTACCGGGAACCTACCCCAAACCCCTAGGCCCGCAAACCCTCAAACCTAAGCCGTAAAACCCTGAACCTGAACCATGATATCTTCAGCAGCTAAGATGTGGCCGCCCCCTAAACCCGAAACCCTGAATCGTAAACCCTAAGCCCTACACCCTAAACCCTAAACCTTGAAATCTAAACTCTAAACTCTAAGCCCTAAATCCTAACCCCTAAACCCTAAACCCTAAACCCCAAACCCCAAACCCCAAACCCCAAACCCCAAACCCCAAACCCTAAACCCTAAACCCTAAACCCTAAACCCTAAACCCTAAACCCTACGCCAAAGCGAGCCCAGGTTCCGCCGCGCGGAGGAGGGCAATCAGGCCCAGGAGCTGACGGCCGAGGAGGAGGAGGAAGCCCAGGAGGTGGGGCTTGGCTTTAGGGTTTAGGGTTTAGGGTTTAGGGTTCAGGGTTCAGGGTTTAGGGTTCAATTCGGGTATAGGGTATAGGGTATAGGGTTTAGGGTTTAGGGTTTAGGGTCTGTTCTCAGAGGGTCTGGTGGTACTAGATTAACTTACGGAACTAGGCACCCGAAAGACCTAACTTGTTGAGTTTAGTGTGGTTTGTGGGCACCTATAGTTCCATGATCGTACCACCAGTGAACCTCCCTGATCGTAGTACAAGTGAACCCTCTGGCTTGGGATTATGGTCAGCTTGTCGATATGGTCTCAACCTTTGGGGTTTCCAGCCAACATACGCAGCTTTCTAGCTAGGGTTTAGGGTTTAGGGTTAACCCTAAACCCTAAAACCCTAAACCCTAAACCCTAATAGCTTGAGAGTCACACATGCAGCCGGTATATCGGGCTCCGTCTGCTCCAGCGCCCTTCCGAGGTCCCTGTTCTGCCTGTTCTCATATGGCTACTGACGTGGGGTTAGGGTTTAGGGTTTAGGGTTTAGGGTTTAGGGTTCGGGATTCTAAGTAAGATTCAACGGTATACACTTAGTACATAGACTTCCAGGGACCTGATAATTGGGTTATTCGAAACCTTAAGGGCACGATGACTAGGTCCTTGCCAGTGCAGGGTAGAATACCAGTACAGGAAGCCTTTAACCCGGTCAGGCCTGTGTAAACCCGACGCCTTTAACCTTAAACCCTACTTCGTGAGCCCGAATCTTCGGTTGACAGGTTAGTGGACAAGTGACGGTGGGGGGATTTGCGCGGGTTTACAGTTCAGGTTTGTTCGGGTTTAGGTGAGTATGGCGTCGACTTAGGTTACGGGCCTGGAGCCTAGACTCAGACCCCGCAAGGATCCAAAATGTAGTACCCTATATTACTGTTGGGCCATTCTTAGCCCTAAGGGTCCATGTACCTATATAGTATATACTTGGGGCCTTAAAGGGGTTCCCATAAAGTAGCTGAAGGGCCCATGTATACACTATATAGGCACATGGACCCTTAGGGTAGAAGACCCCTGAGACGGATCTACTTTTTGGACTCCCAGGCTTCTCTTGCTGAGCATCCTGCATGTCGTGCCCTGGAGGACCTGCGAAGCCTCTCCACACTGTGGCGGGATGACGTCGAAGAGGCACCGAAACCCGGAAAGCATTGACTCCCTGCCATTTGCTGAAGAAACCCCCCAGAAATATAAACCTTCTTCCTTGCAAGGGCAACTAATTACAAACCCTAAACCCTAAACTCTAAACCCTAAACCCTAAACCCTCCTTGTAAGGGCAATAAATACGGATTATTATCTTTCACTTTTTGGGGGGGTTCCAGAGCAAATAGTGGATCCCCAAGCCCTAAACCCAAGCTCCGCAGCCGACATGCTCAGGAGAGGTGACTTGTCCCTTATGGGGGTTGAGAGGTTTAGGGTTTTGGGTTTAGGAGTTTCGGGTTTAGGGGTTTGGGGTTTAGGGTTAGGGTTTAGGGTTTAGGGTTTAGGGTTTAGGGTTTAGGGTTTAGGGCTCGTGTCACATGTACTGCCGGCTGCGTCCTGGAGTCTGTCATCGGTGCTTCAGCTACTCAGTACGAAGCTGGGCAACTATACGTGCCTCTTGCTGATGAAGAGATGACGCCGCCTCCTTCCTTCCGGACGGCGCGCGACTGCCCGACACCGTATAAACCCCTAAACCCCAAAAGCCCCCCAGCACTACTATTTGCTTAAGAACCCACCCAAAATTCAAAAAAAACCCTATCTTACCCTTATAAGGAAGAGGTTTGTTAATTGTGTTTTTCAGTTTTTGGGGGTTCTTAAGCAATTCGTAGAGCATGTGCACTGACCTGGGGCATTCGGTGGTGAAAGGCTTTAGGAGCGGTTCAAGGTGTGGGGTGTATGGATGTCATTGGTAGGATATGGCAGGTTTTTTTTGGGCTTCTTGGGCTGACAGGGTTGAAAGTTTTCAGGTTTTAGGGTTAAGGGTTTAGGGATTTGGCTTTCAGGATCTTCGTTGGGGTCACAAGGCCCAGGGTCCAGTAGATCAAGATGGTCACTGCTGTCTAAGGCCTTACTTGGAAGCCCTTGTGACTTAGTAAGTAGGATTAGTTAGTTGGGTTCTGGGGATTATAGGAGAAAGCCCTGCACCACATGGGTAGCAAAGGTGGATGGACAGGAAGGTTAAGCTCGACATGAAATCCTCATCAGTGGCCCTACCAGTAGGGGCCCCCTAGTTATTCATAGGGTGTTAAGGACCCTGCATCGGATTTTCAGTCTTGCTGTTTAGGTTATGGTTCCCTGAACTGAAGATTGTATAGTAAGGGGGCCCCTACTTGTAGTCCCTGAATGCTAAATATCATTAAATATCCAACACCTAAGCTCGCTATCTGAAGGGTTTGAAGAGTTTCGGTTTGGGTCTACCTATGTCTACCTGAGTTCTAAACTCTTTAAAGCCTAAACCCAAGCCATTTGTTCATGGTTCACTTGGGTGGGGGTCGGGGGGGGCGGGGGGCCGGGGGGCTTTCGGGGTTTAGGGTTTAGGGTTTAGGGTTTAGGGTTTAGGGTTTAGGGTTTAGGGTTCCCAAAATCCTTGCCGCCCTTGCCGCAGAAGCTCGCCGCAGCCGCAGCGCCACCGCCTGAGCGAGTGCGAGTGAGGGCGAGGGCGGGTGCGGGCATAAGTATGAATGAGTGTGTGTGTGTGTGTGTGTGTGTGTGTGTGTGTGTGTGTGTGTGTGTGTGTGTGTGTGTGTGTGTGTGTGTGTGTGTGTGTGTGTGTGTGTGTTGTGTGTGTGTGTGTGTGTGTGTGTGTGTGTGTGTGTGTGTGTGTGTGTGTGTGTGTGGGTGTGCGTGTGTGCGTGCGTGCGTGTGTGCGTGTGCGCGTGTGCGTGTGCGCGTGTGCGGTGTGCGCTTGTGGGTGTGTGCGCGTGTGCGCGTGTGCGCGTGTGCGTGTGTGTGTGCGTGTGCGCTGTGTGTGCGTGTGCGTGTGCGTGTGCGTGTGTGTGCGTGTGCGTGCGTGCGTGCGCGCGCGCGAGCGCGGGCGCGGCGTGAGTTGCGTTGCGTGCGTGCGTGGCGTTGCGTGCGGGCGTGCGTGCGTGCGTGCGTGCGTGCGTGCGTGCGTGCGTGCGTGCGTGCGTGCGTGCGTGCGTGCGTGCGTGCGTGCGTGCGTGCGTGCGTGCGTGCGTGCGTGCGTGCGTGCGTGCGTGCGTGCGTGCGTGCGTGCGTGCGTGCGTGCGTGCGTGCGTGCGTGCGTGCGTGCGTGCGTGCGTGCGTGCGTGCGTGCGTGCGTGCGTGCGTGCGTGCGTGCGTGCGTGCGTGCGTGCGTGCGTGCGTGCGTGTGTGTGTGTGTGTGTGTGTGTGTGTGTGTGTGTGTGTGTGTGTGTGTGCGCGTGTGTGTGTGCCTCTCCGTGTGTCTCTCCGTGTGTCTCTCCGCGTGTCTGTGTGTCTGTGTGCATGGCTTTCTTGCCCTTAAAGAGCCGCAAAGGTCCAATTGCCTCAAGGGGGTTCAGGGCTTCGGGTTTCGGATGTCGGGTTTAGGGTGCGGGGCTTCCTTCCCCCCCCAGTGTGTCAAGCCCGAGGAGCTCTAGACAGGTATGATCCTACTTGAATTCCGGAGCTTTCGCCTTCAAAAGTCCACTAGAAGTAGATCCGGGATTCTCTTCGGGCGGGTGGCACTCCGTAGGGCTTCTGCATGTGGGTTCAGGGTTTAGGGTTTAGGGTTTAGGGTTTAGGGTTGTATGGTCCGGGCCTTTAGTCTGGTCAGCTTCTTCAAAGGGTCCTGAAGTCTGGGCCTTGGGTTGCGTAGGGTTTAAGGTGTATATAAGGGGTCCCCTTTCAAGGGCCCATACTAAGGGACGTGTGACTACCCTAAGATCCAAGGGTACTCTGCTTCGGGAATTCTGTTTCCCACACGGAGAGTGCCACAAGTATCCCTGCAACGGCCAAGCCCCGGGAAAACCTGCAAGAAGCTGCGTTTAGGGTTTAGGGTTCAGGGTTTGGGGTTTTGAGTTTAGGGTGGTTTATTTCCAACCTTCGAAGGCGTGGCTCCATTGGCGTGCTTCTGGTGCGGGTCGTGGCCGCCTACAACCTGATCAACGCAGACTGGTGCCCTCGGGTTCGTTCACTTTTGGGTGGGGGATTGGGCAGGTTTAGAGTTTAGGTTTAAGGATTTAGGTTAGGCTATATGCGTAAGACTTATAACCCGATTTGGGACCCTTAAAACCCTACTTATAACTAGGGGGGGGGGGGGGCCTACTTTTAAGTTTTCGGGTTTTGCGCGTTTTGCTCCTCTTCTGATTTTGGCAGAGCATGCTTGCTTGGCACGAGCTAGGGCCTATAGGGTTTCGGGTGTAGGGCGTTAACCCTACACCCGAGCGGGTGCTGAACCTAAACCCTAACCCTAAACCCCAAACCCTAAACCCTAAACCCTAAACCCTAAACCCTAACCCCCAGACCCCTAGACCCCTAGACCCTAGACCCCAAACCCGAAACCCTAAACCCTAAACCCTAAACCCAAGCTCCCACAACCCAAATCGCCCCACACACTGTGGAGGTTCAGTCTGTCCGATCCCTACGTGAAGGCGGGCACAGATGCACCAGATAGGACACAAAGGGAACCTCACACCATATAGGCTTTAGGCTTTAGGCTTTAGGGTATAGGGTTTAGGTGGAACTTCGCACGCTAAGATGGGGACCGGGCTACCTAGTGGCAGAACTCGAATATGTCACATGCCTCGAGCGCTGACAGAGCAAGCTCCCCAACCTAAGCTTCAGCATGCGACTCCTAGACCTGTGGAGGATCCAAAAAGTAGAACCCCCCAAGTAGTTTAGGGTTTAGGGTTTAGGGTTTAGGGTTTAGGGTTTAGGGTACCCTATACTACTATTGGGTCATTCTTAGGAATCCTTAATGGGATGTACTCTTGAGATCCTCCCAGGGGTCTGGGGCACAGGGTTCGTAATTTAGGGTTGAGGGCCTATGGTGTGGGGACAGCAGTGTTACAAGGGCCCTATTGCTACTTAGGTTATAACCCTCAACCCTGAACCGTTTTCTAAAGTTGGTATAGTAAGGGGCCCCTTTGGGAAAATTTCTGGGGTTATCGGGCTGAGGGAATTTGAGTTCTTATGGTTTCGGGCAGTCAAGGGAAGCTGGAGAAGACATTGTAAGTGCTGCGGGGTTATAAGGTTTCGGGTTTTGTTTCCTGGTTTCAAAGGGTTTTGAAGGGTGTTGGGGTGTTAGGGTTTAGGGTTGAGGGCTCAGGGTTTTGCGCATGGGGTGTCGGGAGGATTTGGGCATCAGGATCTTTTGGCATCTCGCACTACAGCAGCCTGAGCCCCGCATGAACTCGAAGCCTTTGCTCCGCAACCTTGTCTTTCTTCTGGCTGGCTCTTGGGACTTGAGCCTGTCGTGTTCTTGTAGAAACTACAATGAGGCGCGTAAAAGTTAAACGGTTAGGTTTAGGGTTTAGGGCTTAGAGTTTAGGGTTTAGGGATTGAAATTTAGGGTTTAGGGTCAGCCAAGCAACCTAAGGTGAAGGTGGGCCGGCAAAAGCAGACCACCGCCGTCGTAGACGACTGCCTGGAAGCATGGCTTTGAAGCAACGCCCTAAAACCCTTGAGCCTTGACCCTAAGACGTCAGAGACTAAATCTTGAGTCCGAGACCCCAGCCCAGGGGCATCAACTAACGCCAATCGGCTGCAGTGTGGCGATAAGCTAGGAGCCTCACAGTTACATGTAGGGGACCCTAGTTATAAAAGAATTAGGGTTATAAGGTCCCTAAATTGGGTTACAAGTCTTACTACTACTTAGGTTGCGATTCACTTAATTCAAGTCAGTATGGTTAGGGGGCCCCTACTTAAGTCAGTATGGTTAGGGGGCCCCTACTTGGAGATATTTCGCAGGAGTATTGTTTCAACGACTTACGGGGGTTAGGGTTTGCAACCTGAGGAGGAGAAGGGCTCTTTTGCTTATAGAGAAGTCCAGGGGGGCAAGTTTGTCGGGTATCACCACACCCCACCCCCTAGGAAAGTTCTGAGGGTAGTTTCATGGGCCCTCCGCACATGGTCCCTAACCTCCTCGAAAAGGTTCTGATGTAAGTCCCCTTATAATCTGTATAGGGTATATAGGGGTACCCAAGGGGTGCCCCAAACCCCAAACCCCAAACCCCAAACCCCAAACCCCAAACCCCAAACCCCAAACCCTAAACCCTACACCCTAAACCCCAAACCCCAAACCCCAAACCCCAAACCCTAAACCTTAAACCCTAAGCCCTAAGCCCTAAGCCCTAAGCCTGCACCCGAGGATCCACGTTGGGATTCGGAGACCTGGACGTTCGACGTCCCCGCACCCTTGGCTGAGAATTGCTAGATCCTAAACCCCTAAACCCCTAAACCCCTAAACACCTAAACCCCTAAACCCCCAAGTCCTAAACCTTTCGGTTTTAGGATTGAGGATTTAGAGTTTAGGGTTCAGGGCTTCATCAAAAGGGCTATCCCAGGTTTCTACGGTAAGGCCAAAAAATCCCGAAGATCGCATTTGTTTTGAGCCCGAAACTCTCCACTCTAACCCCCTTAAACTCTTAAACGTGTTCGTCAAGATCTGCGAGCTAAAGCCTTAAAAGTCTCCAGGGTTTGGGGTTTAGGGTTTAGGGTTTGGGGTTTGGGGTTTGGGGTTTAGGGTTTAGGGTTTATAATACTAGAGCACCAGTTCATTTACTAACAAAGCCAGAAACCTCGGGTGCCAAGTTTCAGAGATGCAGAAGTTGTTCCGTGGAAGGGGTTTCGGGTTTAGGGTTTAGGGTTTAGGCGGAGTCGACATTCCCAAGAATGTCTTCACCCACATCTGCGGCTGCAAAGAGATTTTTAAGACCATGGCAGCCTACTGTGGGTTTAGGGTTTAGGGTTTAGGGTTTAGGGTTTAGGGTTTAGGGTTTAGGGTTTAGGGTTTAGGGTTTAGGGTTTAGGGTTTAGGGTTTAAGTTGAAAAGATGGAGGCAGCGAAGCCCGAAGGCGGTGACAAGGTGCCAAACAGTTGACCTGGGAAGCGAGCTGAAAGAAGAAGACTTCGCCAAGATCAAAGAGTTGGGGCAAGACTTCAATTAGGGTTTAGGGTTTAGGGTTTAGGGTTTAGGGTTTAGGGTTTAGGGTTTAGGGTTTAGGGTTTAGGGTTTAGGGTTTAGGGCTCTACAAGCACGGCGGCAGTTCCGGGTTTAGGGTGTCGGGCTTAGCGCTTGCGGTTATTCGGGTGTAAGGTCGCTAGAAGTCGACATGCTTAGCCAGGTGCCAAGCCCTCTGGAGCCCAGAATCCTCAAGAAGCGGCTTTTATCATAAGCCCTAAAACCCCAATGTGTCCCTAAACCCTAAACCCTAAACCCTAAACCCTGAACCCTAAACCCTAAACCCTAAACCCTAAACCCTGAACCCTGAAAAAAGCCTCAACCTCAAATATTAAACCCTAAACCCTAAACCCTAAGCCTTGTTTCAAGGTGGTGAAGTTGTCGATGCTGGGGTCGCCAAACCTAAGCCCGAACCCTGCGGCACTACGGGCTCTTGGTTTCTGTGGGGTCTAGGGTTTAGGGTTCAGGGTTTTTGGTTTGGGGTTTAGGGTTTGGGGTTTACGGTTAGGGTTTAGGGTTACTCGCCCAAAACCCTCAAGCACTCAAACGCCTCAAACCCTAAAACCCCGAATCCCCAAACACTGAAACCCAAAACCGTAAACCCCAATGCCCTAAACCCTAGCCCTAAATCCTAAATCCTAAACCCTAAACCCTAAACCCTAAACCCTAAACCCTAAACCCTAAACCCTAAACCCTAAACCCTAAACCCTAAACCCTAAACCCAAGGCAGAGACAACCCTGGTGCGCTTCGAAGTCTGGGACAAAGACGCCCTGCAGGACTCAAGCGGCCACCGGCTTCCCAGGGCCGTTTTAGGGTTTAGGGTTTAGGGTTTAGGGTTTAGGGTTTAGGGTTTAGGGCTCCTGTTTTAGCCTTTTTCGCTAAAGTCTAGGGACCCTTAGGGCAAGTAGGGGCCGCCTAGTCACAAATAAGGTTATAAGGGCCCCCCAACCCTGCCCTAAACCCTGCACCCTAGACCCTACCTCACGGCAAACGCTAACCTTGACCCTAAACCCTTAACCCTAAACCCTAATCCCTAAAGCCTAAAGCCTAAAGCCTAAAGCCTAAAGCCTAAACCCTAAACCCTAAACCCTAAACCCTAAACCCTAAACCCTAAACCCTAAGCAATGCAGTGGGGAACGACAGGACGACCCACTGGGTCATGTTTCCTTCCCGGCGCGCTTGGCGCCGGCCACTCCTGGGGAGGCGCCGTGTTGTTTTTTGCAGGGTTTAGGGTTTAGGGTTTAGGGTTTAGGGTTTAGGGTTTAGGGTTTAGGGTTAGGGATTAGGGTTCAGGGTTTAAGGTTAAAGGTTTAGGGTTTACCTGGAGGTTCATGGTACTTCTTAACCAATTAGTACTGTACTTATAACTGTACTTATGCCCATATTAGGGCACTTAAACAGGCTGATAAGTGGGTTATCAGTACAGTTATCATTGGTTAGCAAGGACATTGAACCTCCAAGTAGGGCTTCGGGGGCTTGGGGTCTTAGGGTCTAGGGCAGTTTAGGGCAGTTTAGGGCCCAGGGAAGGATGTTAAAGATGGCGCGGAGGCTGTGGGCTGAATGTTGGAGACTGTGGGAAAGCTTAGGTCCCGCAAGCCCGAAACCCTGAACCCTGTGTTTTCGAGGCTTAGGAAGCAGCTCGGAGCTGGGGCCCAGGAGGTTTTAGGGTTTTAGGGTTTTAGGGTTTTAGGGTTTTAGGGTTTTGGGGTTTTAGGGTTTTAGGGTTTTAGGGTTTTAGGGTTTTAGGGTTTTAGGGTTTTAGGGGCAGGCTTGACAAAGATCTAGGTAAATGTTCGGGCCCACCCTCACTAAACTCCAGGTTCTCAAACCTCTTTCCTGTGCCCAAACTTCTAGTTCGGACGCTCTTCAGAAGCGCTCAATGAATACCCATTTCCCGAAGCTCCAGCAAAACATCCTAGCCAGAGCCCAAACCCTAAACCCTAAATCCTAAACCCTAAACCCTAAACCCTAAACCCTAAACCCTAAACCCTAAACCCTAAACCCTAAACCCTAAACCCTAAACCAATGACAAGCTCAAGAGCCTCACTGCCCAGACCCCCCTCTCCAACATTTTCAACCGTATTGATTGATAAGGCCCTAAACCCTAAACCCTAAACCCTAAACCCTAAACCCTAAACCCTAAACCCTAAACCCTAAACCCTAAACCCTAAACCCTAAACCCTAAACCCTTTCCTCCTCTGTTTTTGCTTGCTCTTAATAATAGTAGTATACTCAGAAGTCATAATAGCAATACGAGTAACAGTTCATCACAGTACCTTTCCTTGGCTTTTTGGGTTCACGGCCTACGAGAACACCCCCCTTCCCCCCCTCCCCCCACGCCCCTGTACATTAGACGTTCTGTTGGCCCTCTCCCTCTCCCTCTCCCGCTCCCTCTCCCTCTCGCTCTCTTTTTTTGGCTTTGTTCTCTCTCTCTCTCTCTCTCTTTCTCTTTCTCTTTCTCTTTCTCTTTCTCTTTCTCTCCTTCTACATATCTGTACAGATACACACCTCATTGGTTTGTTATACTTCTACCGCCGTTTTTACGTGTTTTTTTACAAGTTGCGCCCCTGGTCGCTGGGGTTCCTCGTAGTTATAAGTAAGGATATTTATAAGGGTTTCAACTTGGTTGTAAGTCTTACCATTTAGGTTGTAACCCTAAACCCTAAACCCTAAACCCTAAACCCTAAACCCTAAACCCTAAACCCTAAACCCTAAACCCTAAACCCTAAACCCTAAACCCTAAACCCTAAACCCTAAAACCTAAACCCTAAACCCTAAACCCTAAACCCTAAACCCTAAACCCTAAACCCTAAACCCTAAACCCTAAACCCTAAACCCTAAACCCTAACCCTACACCCTAAACCCTAAACCCTAAACCCTAAACCCTAAACCCTAAACCCTAAACCCTAAACCCTAAACCCTAAACCCTAAACCCTAAACCCTAAACCCTAAACCCTAAACCCTAACCCTAAACCCCAAACCCCAAACCCCAAACCCCAAACCCCAAACCCCAAACTAAAGTTATTCTAGCAAGGGGGGCCCCTTGCTTGTAAGCTCCCAAGGAGCGGATACGCTTCGCGCTGGACTCGGTACAGCGTGGGCGCCCGGGAAGTCGGCATTGGAGCCTTAGGTTTAGGGTTTAGGGTTTAGGGTTTAGGGTTTAGGGTTTAGGGTTTAGGGTTTAGGGTTTAGGCGTTTAGGGTTTAGGGTTTAGGGTTTAGGGTTTTCAGGGTTCAGGGTTTAGGGTTTAGGGTTTAGGGTTTAGGGTTTAGGGTTTAGGGTTTAGGCGTTTAGGGTTTAGGGTTTAGGGTTTAGGGTTTAGGGTTTAGGGTTTAGGGTTCAGGGTTCAGGGTTTAGGGTTTTAGGGTTTAGGGTTCAGGGTTCAGGGTTGAAAGGTTCGTGGTGTCTTAGGCCTACAGGTGTGGTCTTGGTAGGGACTTAATTAGAACCTGAGTCATGCTGATCTTCGGCCCTTGTAAGG